CCCAGTGTTCAGACCCTACTAACTCAGTTTTACTGGTCTGCAAAGAATTGTAATTAAATGTAGTGCACATTTTCCAACATGGATAGAAAAAAATAAAATTAACACATACATTTGTGAAGAATGTATATGGCTTTATATGATCCTCAACAGTAATATTAAAATTTAAACTTTTTCATACCCACAACTGGAATAACGGTAGCATAGTTAGTAATTCTACCCATGCTGTTTTAGATGTTTTACAATATTCCTATCTTATTCAATTTTTACAGACTCTTTCATTCAAAAACTCAATTTGCCATCGAACTCTCAACAGTTAGGTCATCAATAACAAATACCAATATGTGTAATTACACCAGGAAAATGTAGAGGAATGACAAGTACCAAATCAAAATATTATTCCAGTTTTTTCTTGTGCAAACTATCACATAAAACATAAATCTTTTAAAACCTCAGGAAGAAACATGCTTTCATTTTAGCTAAGAAATCACAACCACACACAGAATGTTTAAAATCAAAGCCTATACTCTCGTTCTGAGGTTCAGAGTTGCTTCTTTTTGCATTTGGTTTCACTAATCAGACCAAATAAGATGACATGAATTGAATACAGGATCTGCCTTCCATGACTGGAAGGGCTCCACTCGAGTAAGTTTATCTGCCCAAATTTTGAGGATTCCACCCTCAATAACACAGTTCACCCAATTCACCAGGATCCCTTCAGCCCCTGTGTAGCATCTTCAGGACTTGAGAGGACTGCCCTGAAACGGGTGGGAAATTTCATTTCCTGCAGCCTAGTTGCAAACCTAAATCTGAATCTTAATTGCAAGAGTGCCATTCACTTAACAGGTTTTAAGTAATGTGCATTGCAGCTTCAAGGAGGCAGATTTAGTCAGGATTACAACAGGATCCATGTGCTAGGAATTTTAACTCTTTCTGCAATATTTATACTCCAGTTCTTGCCTTCATCTACTTCCCTTCACATTTCCACCTGAAGCATTTATACCACAGCATGCTCTGAAGTAAATCTCACTGAATGTGATGGGAATTACCTCCATCAAGGTATGCATCAGATTGTGTGTTTTATTATGTATTTATTTATTCATCATTTCATTTCTGTGGAGTTCTCTGGGCAGTTTAGAACAGTTCATATATTGTAGGTGACTTATTTTATATTGTAAGTTGTTTTATATTTTTAATGTATTATATTTTAATGTTTTGTGAGCCGCCCCAAGGCTTCGGCGAATGGGGTGGCATAGAAATTTTCTAAATAAATAAATAAAACAATGCAATAAAGTATTACTAATTTTTCCCAAAAACATTTGGATTACTTTTAGCAACATCAGAAGGTGTGAATGGTATAAGCCTAAGAATCACTGCTATTAGTGGAAACAAATATGCTCGCTGTTAGTTAATTAATACTTTTATACTGCCTTTCTGAAAATGTTATCAAGGCAGTATAATGGCAATTCAAATAAAAGCAAGAAGATATAAATACTTAAAAACAACATTATAACATCAGAGGCTAATATTAGCTGGTTAAATATTGTGCTTCTTTTTGTTTTTAAATCTTAAGGTGGTTTTATTTTACTGTACTATATTGGATTGCCTTAACGTCACTTACATACACTGACCTGAAATAACTTCTTTTTTTATGAAAGTGCAATGTGGTTTCTTAAGCAGACTAGCTTCCTTTTTTTCTCAATATTCCTTTATTCTCACTGACATTATATCTGTCACAATCAGATTGGCTACATGAAGATCTCACTGTTACTAGAAGGAAACAATTTTTTCAGACACAGGTGACAAAATTACAACCTTGCAAGGGTTAGAAAGGTCTTCATAATGGAGTCTGACTGCTGGTGGCTGAGTGCCAGGCTTGGAGGTGTCGAAATTTACACTGGCATGCCTTCCAATATGTTGGTTCACCTTCCTTCTGTAGTTTTCACCCAACAGAAGAAGACAGCATCCCTCCCAATTTTTTCTGAAAAAAGAATTTTGCTTGTGATGAAATGCTATACAAAATGCCACCATCATTGTTCCTCTTTGTCTATGCAAAATTCCAAATAGCAATCATGTTGCAACAACTAGTTTAGTTCTGGATTTGTATATTTTTAACTTTGGAGCTTATATTTATTATTTCAGTGAGTAACTGTGCTGAAATGTGATATTGTATTTAATACTCTGCCTAGTAAATCATTCATGGATAATGATATAGGAAGACATTTGTGCTCACAAAATATAACCAGGAGCTCTCAGTTTGTTGCCATTAATTCTCCTACCTTGGAAATAGCAACTGAAATACTGCCAGGATCAAATATGCGATGTCTAGGATGTATCATTGCCATGAGTACTACATTTTTTATTACAATCAGGGTCCAGTGAAACCACTTTACAAGCAACTTGCAGTTGAGTTTCTACTGTGTGCAAATACACATTCACATATATATTAAGAAAACCTTCTAGTTTTTGTGTTAGTGAAGAAACCCTTTCGAAGTTCAACTTTCAAAGGTTCCTGTGCAATATTGAGGCTAGCACATACTTGGGTTATGCTTTCACTGACCAGCAACAGAAATATCTTCCTTATTTCCAAAATGTAGAACAAAGGCATGTGTTAGAGGGGTAGATCACTGCCCATAATGCCTTTTCCTATCTTGACTTTCTTGTCTATGAAAAGGTTGGAGCAGGGACTAGGGTAAACAAACCATAGAGTTCAGGGACATAGAGTTCAGAGCGACACCAAAGTAGCAGCATCTAAAACCCTAACAGTAGTCTGGTAACTTCAGCTGCTCATGCACTAGCCATGCATTAACTGTATTCTGAAACACATTAAACCTGCTACCTGCTATCATTGTGCAATTTTCAGTAAATCGAATATTGCATTATCCAAACTCACATCAGTCGTGACCTAGCGGGATACACTTCTTGAACTGGTCACTTTCTGGTTGGCTACTTACAGTTGGGTCTTTTTTCTTCTCCTGAATAGACCCCTTTACCTATGTTGCTCTCTCCTCCTGAGTAGACTCCTTGTGTTACAGGCTTCCAGCAGTTGGTGTCGGGTCAAATGGATTGTTTGCAGGAAGGAGTGACATATATCTGGCACTGATAAATTGATCTGCAGATCTTCCATGGAACTCCTGAAAGGTGGTCTGCAGCCCTGTCCAAGAGTTGGTTTGGATAGGATTCTGATCATCACTCATTCATGCCCTGCCCCCAAGCCCATCCTTGTGTTCATGCAGGGGCTGTGATTCTGTGAAAAGCAGCATCTGAGCATGCAGCATCCAGTGCTCATAGGCCTGACTGGCACATTTGCTAGTCTCAGAGCTGACCTGGAGCAAGGCAAATCCCAGCACCTCTTCCATGTGTGCCAGCATCCCTTGTTTTAAAATATGGAAAAGAAACACACTTCAGCAGGGCAAGGAGGCTGATGGGTGCCAAGAGAACTAACTGGGTGCCCATGGATACTCTGATGGGACTGGGAGATCAAGGTTTACACACTTCTGAAGGGCATGCAGAGTTTTCTTCACTTCTAAACCTCTTGGTCTCTCTTCATTGAAAGTCAGCTTTACTTAGCTCTTCCTCTATAGCTATTTTGAATTCCCTTCAATATAGGCAGCTGCTGTGCACCTACACCTTAACTTAGTATTGACTACACTGACTGCAGAAGCTTTTCAGAGTTTTAAAGAGGAGACTTTCCAGCTGTACCAGGGCATGCCAAGGTTTGCATGCAAAGCATCTGCTCTGCTACTAAACAACACACCTGGCTCCAAAATCCTCTTTCTGTTCACCATTGTGTTACTCTGCAATGGGGACAAAATGCTTAGACTTTTGTTAATATTAATCTTCACTTTGGCTGTGTTTATATAATGACCTTCACATAATTTGTGCAATAATCATAAGACACTGGCTGTTTCAGACTGTACAATTTTAACTGGAAACCAGTGCAATTAGTGTTCCTTCTGTCAGTGGTGAGCAAAATTTAAAAAAATGAGTGAATTAGCCGTACGTCATTCATTAGACAGAAAACGTTTTAGTTTTTTGTGCATGGTAAGATCATAAATGGGATGTGGTAGCACAGTGGGTTAATCTGCTGAGCTGGTAGACTGGTTGATCAAAAGGTTGACAGTTTGAAACTTTTCAGTTTGAAAGCATGCAAATGTAAGTAGACCACTTTGGTGGGAAGGTAACAGCGTTACATGCACCTCGGTGTTTAGTCATGCCGGCCACATAACCACAGAGACTGTCTGTGGACAAACATTGACTCTCTCGGCTAGGAAACAGAGATGAGCACCACCCCCTAGAGTCAGGCATGACTGGACTTTAATGTCATGGGGAAACCTTTACCTTTAAGATCATAAAATGTGCCATTCTTAAGACTGCATACTTGGGTTAAGCCCAATTATTGTAACTGCCCTTCTGTAAGTAGCTTGCACTGTAGGAAGCTCTCTTTATGTTATTTATTATATTTGGTTTTTAAGCCACTCAGTAATACAGATTCTCTGGACAGTTTACATTAAAAATTAATAAAATACAGCATGAGAGTGGTAACATAGAACATTGTCTTTAAACTGAACTGTGAGTATTCTTTTTACAGTGATCAGGGTGATGTGTTTTTTACAGTGTTTATATGGCAGATAAATCAATTTTCTCTGTGTTTGTCATCTATGGCAAATAGGATTGCTTTTGTACAGAAGACTTCCCCTAATTTCCCTAGACAATAATATCACAATGATATGCTACTATATCTGGCAGAAGCAACTGCACAGTATGAGAGGAGCTAAAATGTGTTCTTAGATGGTGATTATCCTGCATTTCCTTGCCACTTTTCATTCCAAAGCTGCTTGTGACTGCCGTGGAATATGTCAAAAGTTTAGCATTGGTTTTGAACACTGTATTTAATTTTGTTATTCAGTTGCTTCACTCAATAACAATACTCTTTCATTACTATTAGAAATCTTGGCATCCTGTGCTGTATTGACTGAAAGGCATTAATCTTTGTTTTTCAGAGCTACCATATGGCTGGGAGAAAATTGATGATCCTATTTATGGCACTTATTATGTTGAGTAAGTTTCCAGGTCCATTATTAATTGACTATTAATCTTGCATAAACTGTTGTTAATGTCCCGTACCGTGCTTCAGGTTGAAAAGGTATGTGTGCACGGTTTTTCCTTTACACCTTGAAATGTAGGAGGAAATGGAAGGCCCAATAAAAGGGAGCTGCTTTCACTTAATGTAAGATACACAGAACTTGGGATTTCCCAAGGAAGTGATATACACAGACTTCCGGATATCCTGAAGTGCCTGACCCTGCCTAATCTTGGAACCTAATCAGGGTCAGGCCTGGTTAAAATCAGGATGGATGACTTAATGTTGTGAACTGCTCAGAGAGCTTCAGCTACTGGTGGTATAGAAAGGTAACGAATAATAAAAATAATATGTCATCTGTCACCTACCTGTGGAAAATAGATTGCCACTGAAAGGATCTGAAGCCATTTGACCAGTCTGTATTTAAGGTTTTATTCAAAAATGTTGGCATGTTGACAGTGGATTGGAGCCAATGGTGTCATTCTGCTAGAAGGGAAACCTTGTTGAGTGTGTTTCTCCTCCCTATTACAGTGGGTTGGGTCGCCCTTTATAGCAGATATGAGGAACACAAGCCATGACAGGGAAGAGGCTAGGGATGGTCCAGTGAGTGATTAGACAGCCTGTTGGGAAAGCAGACATCTGTGCATGTGGTATGTAAGGCAGTAATTCCATGGTTAGATACATGGAACAAAATTAATCTATGGATCTTGCAATTCCAGTGCTACAGGAACTTCTGGTTGCAGGAACTTCTTCCAGTTCACCTGTCTAGATCAAACCTGATGCCTTCTGTGGCATCACAGTAGCTAACCAAAAAGAAAAAAGAAAGACAGATATTCATCAATGCGGCAAGTGACCAGGAAAGAATCAGTTCTCAGAAATGCCCAAATTTATTAAGGTCCAGCATGTTTTATAAAACACTTTTCCAGACTCCAAGGTATTCAGAAACCTGAAAAATTAAAACCCTTAGCTCTCTCATTACAGAATCCAGAATGGTTTGATTCTTTAAAGAGAAAGCTAAGGAGATTAAGGAGCTCTCTAATTACTGAATGAAAAAGTTTTGAATTCTGTAATGAGATCCCTAAGGATTTTACTTTTACAGGTTGCCAAATACTCCTGAGAAAGGAAACGTGTTGGGTTTTAATAAGTTCCAGCACTTGGGAGAAGTGGTTTTCTTCAGGTCTTTATAATAGTAGCTAAACTGGTAGCAGCCATTTGAAGACCTATTCCCGCTGTCTGTCAAAGACACAGACTGTTGTTAACACTGCCTCTTCTCACATACACCTGAACATCTGCTACATTCACCAGTTCTAAAAAAAAAAAAAAATCACACCTACACTTCAAAACTTCAAGCCATGCAAATCTTGTCTTATTTTCACTGATATAAAAAGTGAACAAGGATATAAATCAACTAGTCTCCTTGGCCACAACTAGTCTCCTCGGTGCTTGATCAGGCACGCTTATTTCTCCTCACCCTTCCAAAAACTCCAAAGCTGCCCTCCCTAGAATGAATGAAATCATTCTAGAATGTGGGGAGCCCTTTTCTGAAAAGTCTTGTGAATTTATCCATTTTATGAAAAGTGGTAGAGTATATGCCAATTTGACATTCTTTAACAGGGATTATTGGGACATGAAAAATTTATGCCTGAAAGCTTCAGCATAGCACAGCTGTTTGTCTGGCCCCCATTGAAGAAGGACTCTTCAAAGCTATTTAGCTATTCCACAGAGTAGAAAGAACATTCAGGAACAAAGTTACGCAGCTTCATGGAATGAGCAATCTTACATCTAGACTGAGCATTCTGATGAGAAGGTACTTATTTACTTCAAACGCATCAATTAGAAAGCCTGAATTAGCTTTCTATTGATACTCGACCAATAGAAATATGCTTTCCATTCTCTTACCAGTAATGTTAAGATTTGCCATGCCCTAAACCACACAACATCAAAATCTCTTGAAAAGCAACTACATCTGAAAGATGAAACCTTGTGCACATGGACCTGTTTTTTAACAGCCCCCCGCCCCACCCCAAGCCCTACAACCAAAGGCCTAAAATCATTTTTTGGCCTCATTGACTCTTATGTGAAGCCTGAATATAATACCGCTTCCACATCAGTGCTATCAAATTCCCACTTCCAAAGATTTCCCCAAGTGCACACACACACACACACATACGCGCGCGCACACACACACACACACACACACACACACACACCTTTGTAGATTTGCTAGTGGAATAGGATGTCACTCTAAGAAATTGAATATGTGCATGTACAGAAAAGGAAAATGACACAAGTTTGTTGTGGTCCAGTCACCATGGGCTGGTTCTATACTTAGTCTTACTTAGACTTGACCTAATGAAATCAGTGGGGTCCAAATTAATCATGACTGACTTAAGTGCCACCATTTTTAATTAATATAAATAACTAAATATCCGTAAATTTGGAGCCAACTTATATCATTGTGCAATTCCACAAAGCCCTGACTATGATCTTGTATATTAAGAAAAAAACATATTTACCCAATAATGAGATAGGACAACAATGTCTCTGCATATGCCGTCCTGTTCATTCAGTCCTCTTACTCCTTTTCCACTTTCTTCTACTACTCATCCCTTTATTCCAGAACCTTCTCTGCACTGCGCCATATTTCAGATTTAGTAATGAAAAGGACTATGCATAAATCGCCTTTCAGGTAATTTGCCTGGGATTTATTCTTTTTGATCCTAGTGCCTGATCTGAAGGTACATGGCAACAGTCTTACTCTCTGGTAAGCCTTTCTGTCATTGATCAGTGCCCAGACAAGAGACTGTCTGTAAACCCGACCTATGCTACTTAAGATCTATAATATATGAAAAGTAGGATATAAGATTTGTCACTTCATTCAGTTAAATGGGTTTCTCATTTGTTCATAATCCAACTAATGCCTGCAAAGGCAGAGAATAAAATACAACCTTTACTGTATCTGGTTCCATTTTTGAATTGTTTTGCTGACAATTCAAGAGTTTTAATTTCATATGAGCTACAATCTTTGTGCATTCACGTGGCAATTGCAGTGGAAAATGGTGCTTCTAATACTTTCATAACAGCATCCATGTTTTTGGAATGATTTATGCATATGTACCATCAGCCATGCTTTGTGTGCAAATGGGTGGTCAGGAAAAATTGCTGCCATGACAGATAACATCAATTATCTTCCCTCAATGAGTCTGAGGTATTTCAAATCTGCAGGCAATAAAAGAGAAGGAAATACAAGGCAATCCTCCATTGCTCACATTTTATGTAGTCATACACATAAGACATTTGAGAGTCTGTGTAGGAAGTGCTAATAAAATGATGCACTCTAGAAATACATTATCGTAACATAGTTATCTCAGTGGAAGATGGCTTTGACAGAAAAGCTCATACTAATATCACAAGTGTGACTTTCTTACGTTGAAAATAGGTACAGCATTTGTAGGGCATGGAACACACGTTTAGAAGTGTTTTCACCAAATTAAATCCAATTCGCCCTTTTCTCCTGAATGTTAATAGCTTTCCAGAGGGTAACAGACTGGCAGTGGACTACTTTGTATATCCATTCAGAAGCAGGTCCCACTGACGTGAGGAGGACTTGCTCCTTAGTGTTGAGGTGTTCATTCCAAACGGTGAAAAAGTGGCTGTAAATAGCACTACCTGGTTAGCAATTGTGACTTCACCACCACAGAATTCCTGGAGTAGTTTTGCAACTGTTGTTCACTGAAGGGAGAAGAGATGATGAATTGAAAAATAGCAGTAGATTATTTGGCCTCTTTGTGGCAAAAGTTTTCCTTAATGGAAGCACAGATGTTTCACTAGTGGCTTCACTGGGATCAAGGTTTAAGCCAAACATTCAGGTTTAGTACTCTTTCCTGACACAGGAAAAATCTTGCAGCAAAATGTTTCTTTTAGAATCTTATTTAACTTCATTCTTTTTGGCTACCCAAAGCCTATACAAATAATGTTTTGGAGGGTAGTCAACCACATTATGTGATGTACCATAAGTCACAATGGTCTTGTCCATTACATATTGTATGACTTGGGCCTTCAGGAAAGTACAAACTCTCAGTAGGTTTCCCAGATAGAAAAAAGTTTGTTTTTCTACTTTTTTGTTTTTCTACTGGACCTTCCTTACCAGTGTCCAGTGAGAGCAAATACAGTGATGAATATAAACACTGCAAATTAGATGTTCTATACAAAAGAAAACCAGAAGGTAGTCATTTACAGAAGTATTAAAATGCTGACCGCTGAAAGTACCACAAGTTTATTTTGGATATTATTTTGCAATCCACAGTAAGCTAACTGTATTTTTAACCTATTCATACTTGCTTTTCATATCTTTTCTAATAAAGACAAGCAAAACTATAAATAGACATGAAAATCACATTTTGAAAGCATCTGTATGGCTTAGTTCCAGAAAGCAGCACTCAAAAGGCCTAGAATGCTCTTGCAGTATCGTGAATCATAAAAAATACGAACTAAACTACCCTCGGCTTTAATTAACTTTAACGTTGTTCCTTGGAAAAAAAGTGGAAAGCCCTGCTAGGTAAATCATTACTTACTCTCCTCATGAGATCAGATCCTTTTATCCCAATTCTCCCCTGCCCCTTTTCTTCCACCAGCATATCAGACTTGTTAAAAGCAGTTTTGTTTCTATGAGCAGTTTCCAATTTTGCTGTCAAATTTATTTTGTCATAAAAGCTTATGTGCTGCTTAATTATTTCTGACACTGGGGCTAACGACATGCGGAGAGCTACTGTGCTGAATTATTTTTATTTTATGTTAATGAAAAGCTTCTTCAAGAGGGGGGAATTTAGAATGGAAAATGAAAGGGGCAGAGAGAATGCTTAAATCTTTCTGTGGTTTCTCCTCTTCAAATCATTTAAGCAGACACACTTTTGTAATGCAGAAAAGCTGCCTTAGATGGATGCAGTCCGTCTTGCTCAGTATTGTCTACATAACTTTC